AAACTATACACACTCTTTCTCTAAAGCTTTCTGTTTCTGATGTTAGGAGAATGCTAGGCCTGCAGATTGGTAGAAATTGGAACCTGAGCAATTCTCTCCTCCCTGCCCAGTAAATGTAGTGACATACTGGACAAGCCTATGCCTCCTGTGCTTGTGGTGACATGTAAGAGCTGAGGTCTTTCAGCATAAGATTGAAACCCCAAAGTGGAAGCTAGGCAGGGGAGATTGCCTGGGGAGAGACATCTTTAACAAAAATTCTAAGGGAAGTCGCCCTAAGTTAGATCCACAGAGAAAAACAAGGATTTTATTCAGCTGTGGGAGAAAGGTCAATTCACTTCCAGTCAGAGTCAATTTATCCATCAGAAGGTAGAGACTCAGTGTTAAGGACTTAGGAAGTTTTCATGGAACATCAGGATGTTTGATATTTAAGGGAAATGCATCACTCCAAAATATGGAAAGAAAATACAAAATAGATGACAATAAAATAGTTGCACATCTATAAAATGTAAAAAATTTGTTCACTGACCATTAAGAACACTCCATACCATTTGAAAACAATTTACAGAGATTTTCTCACTTCTTAAGAATTCCCAATTATATACAAAAACTACCCAGAAACCATAGCCAATCGTTAATGAAATGTGTTGCTTCTAGCCAAGTACATTAAAAAACAAACTTATAAATCATTTAGTATTTTTACAGAAAAAAAAAATTGTGATTGGGTGTGAATACATTTTAATTATTTGATACAATGTGTGTGGGTTCTCTAAATGTCAAGTGTCTAAGGCTGATGGAGCTCTTAAAGCAATCCTAAAACAAAAAGGAACAACTCTAACGGAAAAAAAAAAGAATGCTCGTGCTTTGTGAAGAATGTAACCAATGCCACTGAACAACTTGTATAGCAAAGGTTGGATGGGAACCTAGACAGCTGTGTAAACCTTCACTGAAAACACAGTAAAATATTACTAAAACACACACACACACACAACAACCCTAAAAGAGTAATTACATTGATCAGTTTCTTATCTTGCCCTAGTGTCCCTGTTTGGATTCCAACCATCTCAGATCTCAGAAGAGCTTTGGGTGATTAACACCATGACTCATTACATACAAATAGAATTTATACCAAGAACAGAAATTTCTTAAGCTCACAGAAAAATGTAGAAGGAAAATAAACAGTCTTTCCTTCAGGAATTCCCATACTAAGACCCTCTTTAACTCTTAGAATCTGGAAACTTTGTTGACTTCTGTTGTTGTTAAGTGTTGTTGAGTCAGTTCCGACTCATAGTGACCCTTTACAGGGTTTCTGAGGAATGGCTGTGAGTTTGAACTGCCAACCTTGTGGTCCAAACTGGCCTTACAATCCAATGCTTATCCTACAGTGCCACACCAGGACTCCTTCTTGGGTTTTAGGAAAGATTTTATTAACTCCACCGAAGCAAAAATTCCACTAGAACATTACATACTGACGCTGTCTCCTTGTCTTTGAAAGCTCTACACACAGGCCCCTCCTAGTGGAGTTGGTCTGGGACAAACCACTTTGTCTAGGAAGAGATTTTTCTCCCTCAATCTTCCCTTTGCTACACCCCCTCATTTCTATACAGGTGTGATTTGGACAAGCTACTATTAAAGAGACAAAAACGAACAAAAAACAACAGTTGCTGTCATGTTGATTCTGATTCTCAGTATTTATGTTCTTCACTGTTTTTTTGTTTTAGTTGTTTGTTGTTTTTAAATAGTGTTAAAGTAGACCTGTGGATTTTCAGAAATAGAAAGTCAGGCCTTTCTTCTAAGGTACCTCTGGAAGGATTCTGAGCTTCCAGCCTTTCAGTTAGACTACATTCTCACACACAATCGTACCCCAAATTGGGTTTCTAACTTCATTTCCCTACAGAGAGCTTCTCTTTATTTCCTGTACTCACCTAGGCAACGCGCAAGTGTACAGCTTCTCACTCCAGGACCAATGAACTCTGTCCCTGTCAGGGAGCAACATAACCTGACCACACAGTTGGTCCTCAGTACTTATGCTAAATATCTAACATGAATTATGTTACAAAAGAAAAGCAAACACATTGAAAACAAAGAGCTAGATTTTCACACTACAGGTGGTGATTTCAAACATTAGGACGAGTTTCTTTTTCTGTTTCTAGGCTTTGTTCATAATTTGTGCATCAAAATTTAAAGCTCTCTATAGCTCTGGTAATGTAGTGTTATAAATTGAGCTGTGAACCACAAGGTCAGCAGTTCAAAATTACCAGCTGTTCCACGGGAGAAAGATGAGGCTTTCTGCTCCCGTAAAGATTTATAGCCTCAGAAACCCTGTGCAGGGTCGCTATGAGTCGCAACTGACTTCACAGAACATAACAACAACAACAACAACAACATAGCTTTCTATGGGGAGTGCAGTGGCTCTGTATGATAAGCACTTTAAATCACAAGGTGAGCAGTTTGAGCCCACCAGCCTCTCCAAAGGAGGAAGATGAAAATTTCTGCTCCCACAATGATGCACAGTCTCGGAAAGCCTATATATCATCTCTATGAGTTGGAACTGACTCAAAGGCACTTAACAAAAACAACTTTCTACTTGAAGGGTTTTTATAAATGAGGTCTTAAGAAGGGATATAAACAAATGAACTTGAGCATCTTTTAATACTTGGAATAGAAAATTCCCAGTACAAGGGGAAATGTGTAGACGGTTATTGAATTGACCCCTGAATCTCACAGCAAACTTTCCGACACAGACAACAATAGCAATAGTATGATATCACACCTTATTTGAATTTAACCAATGACCACACGTTTCTCAAGACTAAAAATTGACAGAACCCTATTTCCACAGTGTAGTTCCTTGTTGTCAAGTCAACTGTGACTCAGGACAACCCCATGTGTGTAGGTAGAACTGTTACAAAGGGTTTTCAATGGCTTTGACATATAGATCACCCGGCCTGTCTTCCAAGGTGCATCTAGGCAGATTCAAACTAACAACCTTTCCATTAGTAGCCAAACACTTAACTGTTTGTCCCACCATCATTACCTACTACAGAGAAAAACCAAAATCAAACCCATTACCGTAGAGACGGCTATGACTCCCAGCGACTCTGTAGGACTGAGTAGAAATCTTTCCTGGTGCAGACAGCTTCATCTTTCCCTTTTGGAGCAGCTGGAGGGTTTGAACTTTGACCTTTCATTTCAAAACCCAACACTTAAACCACCATGCACTTTAATAACGGTTTCCTATTAAAGACATTCTTTAATTTAAAGAGATTCTTTAACATTCTTATCAACGGAGAAAAGATTGAAGTTGTCAAGGACTTCGTTCTTCTTGGATCAACTATCAACACTCATGGAAGCAGCAGTCAAGAAATCAAACAACATATTGCATTAGGCAAATCTGCTGCACAAGACCTTTTTAAAGTGTTGAAGAACAAAGATGTCAGCTTGAGTACTAAGGTGTCTCTGACCTGAGCCATGGTATTTTCAATAACCTCATATGCATGCAAAAGCTGGACAGTGAATAAGGAAAACTGTAGAAGAATTGATGTTTTTGAGTTATGGTGTTGAAGGAGAATATTGAAAGTGCCATGAGCTGCCAAAAGAACCAACAGATCTGTGTTGGAATAAGTTCAGCCAGAGTGCTCCTTGGAGGCCCGAATGGCCAGGCTTCATCTCTCACACTTCAGACACATTGTCAGGAGGGACCAGTCGCTGAAGAAGGATATCATGTTTGGTAAGGAGGAGGGTCAGAGAAAAAGAGGAAGACCCCCAGCGAGATGGATTTGCAAAGTGGCAGCATCAATGGGCTCAAGTGTGGCAACCATAGTGAGGTTGGCCTAGGATCGGGCAGTGTTTCGTTCTGTTGTGCACAGGATCACTATGAATCAATACTGACTTGAAGGCACCTAATGACAACAATTAAAGAGATTAAGTCATTAAGTGCCATCCAGTTGGTTCTGACTCATAGTGACCCTGCGTAGGGTTTCCAAGAAGCAGTCGGTGGGTTTGAACAATCAACCTTGCAGTTAGCAGTCCAATGTTTATCTTACGGTGCCTCACCAGGACTTGTATTAAAGAGAAGAGGCCAGAAATCTGGCTGAAAATGTAGAAAAGAAAAGGAGTTCTCCTGCTTCCTTTGTTGTTGTTGTTAAGTGCCGTCGAGTCAGTTCCGACCCATAGCGACCCTGTACAGGGTTTCCGAGGGTGTAAATTAGTGATGGAATAAAATGGAGGAACAAGAATGGGTCTGTGGAGAAAGGTGTTTGAAATAAATACATCTGATGAAGTGCTTTTGAATGCATTTTCTCCTTGGTGGTAGATAATTAATGCCAATTCCAACTCATACTGATCCTCTATGGCGGAATAGAATTGCCCCATAGGGTCTCCAAAGCTGTGAATCTTTACAGAAGCAGATTGCAGTATCTTTCTTCTATGGAGTGGCTGGTGGGTTTGAACTGCTGACTTTCAAGTTAGCAACTCAACACTTAACCCATGGCACCACCAGGGCTTCTTATGTAACCCCCTTTTTTTTTGTGGGGAGGGGAGCAGAGGGACTTGGAGATAGGAGTAGAGTCAAGCCGGAAATCCAGGTCTCAGGCTCTGCAGTTCCTGCTCTTTCGCTCTGCAGTTCCTGCTCTTTCGCTCTGCAGTTCCTGCTCTTTCCCCTGGGCTTCCCTAACTCTGTAACGAGGGGGGGGGGGGTGATTATGCTCCATCTGCCCAATCCAGAGCCACGCACCCAGAGCACCCAGAGGCTCAGAGCTGTCTTTCCTAATGATGCCCTGTTTTTTTCCAAAACAAAGAGCTGCTGTTTCACCTCCATTTTCTGGGCCTCAAGGCTGCAATCGTTAAGCACGCAACAGCTAATGGAAAGGCTAGCCCTTCAAACCCACCGACTGCTCCAGGGGAGAAAAGCCTGGGCAATCTGCAGCCTAGGATTCACAGCCTAGGAAAGCCCACAGGCAGTTCTAATGTGTCCTAGATCTGACTATCAGTCTTATTTGCAGCTACTTGACAGTTACTTTGAAGCCTACCAGCACGTGTTGGACCCTGAGGAGCGCTTTGCCTTAGCACAAATAATCACTGACATCATGTACAGGCGCCCAAGGTTTGATCCAAGCCATGCTTATTTCATTAACGCTTATAGAGACGACTGCATCTGTCTGAAGCTCCACCTGCAGCTGCTGAAGGACATCCTCGACCAGCAGGTGAGTTCCTCAGAGCTGGAGCCCATCTGATGCCTAGTGACCCTACAGGGCCCAGAAGAACTGCTCTCATTGAGTTCTCAAGGCTGTAAATCTTTATAGAAGTAGATTGCTACATGCATCTCCCATGAATCGGCTAGTGGGTTCAAACAGCCAACAACCTTTCAGCTAGCAGTGCATCACCAGCGCTCCTGCATGTAAGCGTTATTGTTGTTGTTATGTGCCATGGAGTCGGTTCCAACTCATAGCAACCCTGTACAGGGTTTCTGAGGCTGTAAATCTTTACGGGAGCAGAAAGCCTCATCTTTCTCCTGCGGAACAGCTGGTAGTTTCGAACTGTTGACCTTGTGGTTCGCAGCCCGATTCGTAACCACTATGCTACCAGAGCTCCTTGGGCTTAAAAACTGACATGCGAGAAAAGAATGGAAAACACTGCCCAGGACCAAAAATAGTCTTTAATTGTGATTGTTTTCAAGAACAACATGTGCAGCCGCATGCACGTTTTGTAAACTCATTTGCATTGTTGAATTCCTATCAAAACTGTGATCTTAGGCTCGTGGCTGGTGCAAACAGTTTACATGGTGCTCTAGGTTAAGCACTTGGTCACAAGGTCAGTTTGAACCACAAGGTCAGCGACTCAAATCAATCAGCCGCTCCTTGGAAACTCTATACAGGGTCTCTATGAGTCAGAACCAACTCAACGGCACTGAAAAACTAACATAAGGGCTGGTGGTTCAAACCCACCCAGTAGTACCCTGGGAGGCAGGCCTGGCAATTTGTGACCATAAAAATGACAGCCAAGAAAACCCTATGGAGCAGTTCTACTCTTTAATACGCCGTGGCATCGGCTCCATGGCAACGGGCCTTGGGTTTGGAATGAGTGGTTTCCAACCCTAATTACATTCAATGGTCCATGAGGAATTTTGACAAGCTTGGTTTTCACTAATCATAGCACTTATTAAGTAGTGAAAGAAAGACAAAGAATAGATCTTTTCAAAACATGAATGCACACAATTGGTTTTTTTTTTTTAATTTTGTGGCTGTTTTTAGGATGTTGAGGGAATCACTCATGTTGGAAGTCTGATGCGGGGGAAGCTAGTGGCATGAAAGCACAAGACAAAGACGGTGCAGTGCAGGTTCCTTAACCCTGGCTGGAACTTTTTCCAAGTAGTCAATTATTTGACTTTTGCCTCTTAAAATTGTCAGAAGGTTGTTGCCTTTGCTTTCTTTGGCTGACCCTTGGCTCAGACTGAGAGACCAACATATCTAGTTGCTAGAGAATTCCCCCAAACAATGTCTGGGTGAAAATTAGTCAAATCATGAAGAGAAGCAAAGGGACCATGTTTTTCTCGTGCCAAGACTCATTACTCACATCCATGGGAAAGTTGAACTTTTCTAATTTTAACTTTCATGCTACATTTCTAGATAGAGTGTCAGCGGGAATATGTCCAGAGGCTTTGGCGAGAAGGACACTCATATGACAGCAGTAAATTCGGACTTCCCCTTAACATAATTTGCAAGCAACTGATTTCCATCAACAATAGCAGGTACGTTGCCATTGGTTTACCGTAGCTTGCATTTAGTTATAAGTCTAAATACTGTTCTGAAAAGCACCTCTTAAGGATCTGCATGAGATGAGAGAAGTGGGTACAAAAGTCACAATAGAGAGATGACGTATCTGTTTGCCTTGTAAATAAAGGAGCTCTGGTAGCGTAGTGGTTACGAATCGGGCTGCGAACCTTAAAGTCAGTGGTTCGAAACTACCAGTCGCTCCGCGGGAGAAAGATGAGGCTTTCTACTCCCGTAAAGATTTACACCCTTGGAAACCCTATACAGGGTCGCTATGGGTCGGACCCGACTCAAAGGCACTTAACAACAACAACAACTAGTATCAATATCAGAGTCCTGGTGTGGTGCTGCGAGTTAATGCACAGGACTGCAAAACAGCTAAATAGCTGCTCCTCAGAAACCCTATACAGGGTCACTATGGGCCGGAACCAACTCAATGGCACTTAACAACAATAATAGTACCGATACTATGTACTGATACAATGGCACTTAACAACAATAATAGTACAAAATGTCACAAAGTCATTTTGACTTATGGTGATCTCATGTGTGTCAGAGTAGAAATTGTGCACCATTAGGTTTACAATGGCTGACGTTTCAGAAGTAAAATCACCAGATCTTTCTTCAGAGGCACCTTTGGGTGGCCCCAAACTGCCAACCCTTCAGTTAGCACTTGAGCATATGAACTATTTGCACCAATAAAGTGTTTGCTCCGACTTCAATGAAGAGTTGTTGCTAAGTGCTATCCAGTAGGTTCTGACTCACAGTGACGCTGTATAGGCTTTCTGAGGCTGTAAATCTTCATGGGAGCAGAAAGTCTCATTTTTCTCCTGCAGGGCGGTTAGTGGGCTCGAATCATGGACCTTGTGATTTGCAGACTAGTGCTTATCCTTCAGAGCCACTGCACTCCTCAATAAGGAGTTGTTGTTGTTAAGTGCCGTGGAGTCAGTTCTAATTCATAACAACCATCTATAGAGTTTCCAAAGAGTAGCTGGTGGATTCGAACAGCCAATTTTACAGTTAGCAGTCCAGTGCTTATCATACAGCATCACACCAGAACTTCTAATAAAAAATTGTTGTTAAGTACAGTCAAGTCCATTCTGACTCACAGCAATCCTGAACCGGTTTCCAAGGAACAGTTGTTGGGCTTGAACTACTGACCTTGTAGTCCAGTGCTTATCCTAAAGCACCATAGCAGGACTAGAATTTAAATGAATGCCACTGGGTGCAGAATCTTTTAAAAATCTGAGAAATCTTAAAAGCAGTCAGTTGCTCCTGAAACACAGAGGATTGACTCTGAGGTGCCATACAAATTCACAAAATGGTAAAATTTCTCAAAACCAAAAGTGATGTTTCTTGATTCTAGCAAGTATCCCCAAAGAGGTTTCTACAGACTTGCTGCAAAAACAAACAAACAACAACAACAAACCATATGACCCTCAACCCTTATAAGAAGTGGCTAAGTTTCCTCAGATCACTCAGAAAGGATATACGTACTTTAAGTCACTTGTTAGCGTGACGTATGACACCTCCATTCCCTTTCAACCTTTGAGGGTACAAGACACTGGGAAACTGGGTGGCAATCCCTTTGCTGGGCTGTGTAGTCCAAGATCACAATCTCTGTTCAGTTGCCATTGAACCATTTCCTACTCATGGGGACCTGATGCGTGCCCATGTAGAACTGTACTCCACGGGGTTTGCAATGGCTGGATTATTGGAAGTAGGTTTCCAGGCCTTTCTTCCAAGGTGCCTCAGTGTGGACATTTTGGTTATAATCCAAACGCATTAACTGTTTCTAGCGCTCAAGGACAATCTATTTATCTCTTCCTAAATGGGTGAAGATATTGTCTAGCCTCTTCCAACAACCAACAAATGTTTGCACATACGGGCACTGATCAGTCACTAGAGACACAGATGTGAACAACAGAGTCATGGCCCTATGCGCCTGTGAAATGCCCAGTCCAACAGTAAAAGCAAATTTTCAATGGAAAAAAAAAAACAAAACAAAACATCACCATAGTGTGCTAAGGGAACTCTGCGTGGAATGGGCAGAGTAGGAAGGGAGCTCACAACTGAGATTCTAATCTCTTGAGAAAGCCCTGGGAGTTCCAAGCACAATATTGCATTTTCTCCATAAACTTTCTCAGAGCTAGAATAAGCTCGAACTGCCAGCTGTGTATGTGTGTGTGGTGTGTGTGGTGTGTGTATGTATCTGTGTCTGTGGCTTGTTATGGCAAGAATCTACTACTCAGGAAATGGATTCTGACAGAATATGTTAGAGCTAAATGAATACCCATCAGAATAGTGCCCCAAACAAATGCTGTTTGATTGATGAGATTCCCTTCCACACTGAGGGCTATATTTTCAGATCCAGGTCTAAAAACGATCCATTGGCATAGATTTAAGGAGACATAATTATGTTCTTTGGGAGAAAGATGAGGCTTTCTACTCAAGTAAAGATTTACAATTTCAGAAACCCTATACAGGGTCGCTTTGAGTTGGAACTAACTTAACAGCATACAACCACCACCATCACCACCATCACCATCATTATGTTCTTTGTAAGTCCTGGGGTGGCATGGTAGGATAAGTACAGGACTGTTAACCACAAGGTTAATGGTTCAAACCTACCAGCTACTCCTTGGAAACTGTGTAGAAAGTCATTATGAGTCAGAACTGACTCGAGAGCATTTAATACCAACAATAATTATATTCTTCAGTTCCATGCAGGTACAGAAAAGCCTTTGCTTTGAACTGCATCATTTATTTCTAAAGGAATAATCCACAAGCAAGCATTTTATGGCTTCCGGCCCCTTCCATTTACAAAATATAACATCCTTACAGTGAACATGAATGATTCTAGCAGTGCTGTGCAGAATTCAAAAAATTGTCTTTGTCTATAAACATTTTGTGGGGGTGAATGGGAGATAATTCCAGAGAAAAATAAAAACTAATAGCTATGGAAATGATTTCTTGCTTTTTTGTTTAATCACTGTTAAGTTATTTTGTTTTCAAATATTTGACTAAATAACTGATAACTAAAATGCTGATGGGTTTGCTGTATACATACAATTTGAATCTTATTCTTATTGGGCTTTTAGAATATAATCTTAAATTTTCCAATTTTAAAAGGGTTCATGTTATGCAGAAAGTACATTGTGTAACCCAGTTGGGTTTTCTGTATAGCCTTGGAGATCCCTGTGACCTCTTAGTTTCTTAGGATGCTCTGGATCATGTTATTGTTGTTAAGTACTGTGGAGTCTATTCCAACTCATAACAACCCTGTATAGGGTTTCTAACGAGCTACTGGTGGGTTGAACCACCAACCTTGTGGTTAACAGTCCAGTATTTATCCTACAGCACCACACCAGACTCCATAGAAGAGCTTAACTGGTTTTTTGTTTTTGTTTGTTTATTTGTAATTTTTTGTGTGAACTGAGTGATAGTTTACATGGGAGAACATTGGCTTTACACCATCATTTCACTGCAATGCTTACAATCTCCCCCGTGCATCATCATTCAACATTTGCTTCCATTCCCTGTTTTGTTTTCATTGTTTTTTAAGAAGATAAAATTCAAATACATTGAGAGATAGGTTAAGTTCTTTATTTTAAATGGTAAAATTTTCCTACTCTTCAAGCCCAGCCCTGAAAAACATTTACCTGCTGGAGTTCCACCCTTCACTCGGGTTGGCATCACTCATCCCCAAAGCCCTTGAGCATCTTCTCCAGGAGTTGCGAAGCATCTGCAGACCCACATCGGCCAGCAGTCTAGCTCAGCTGGAGAACCGTGTGCTTCGACTGGCCCTGGATGTGTGGCTCTCTCCGGCCAAGCCTGAGTCCTTGTACAGTGCACAGCTCCAGAAAGATGTAAGTTCTTCCTCTCCAGAGGTAGTAAGCTGGACCCTCAGTAATGAGAATGTGCCTTCCTAGATGTTACTATTTAGCTGTTTGGCTCTTTTATCCCTGATTTGGTCAGACATCATAGTCATATTGTTGTAAGTGCTGTTGAGTTGGTTCCAACTCATAGCAGTCCTGTGTAGGGCTTCTAAGGAGTGGATGATGAGTTTGAACTGCTGAGCTTGCGGTTTAAACCGACCTCAATGAAAATAAGCACTGGATTGCAAGGTAAGTTTGAATCACAAGATCAGCAGTTCAAATCTACCAACCATTCCTCAGAAACCTTATGTTGTTGTTGTTAACTGACTTATAGTGACCCTGTATGAGGTTTTGAGGAGCAGCTGGCGGTTGAACTGCCTACCTTGTGGTTCACAGTCCAATGCTGATCCTACAGAGTCAATGAGGACACCATGTCACAGTCATAGTCATAAAACTTGCTGACATTTTTATGTGAAGTTTTTTTGATCAGTTTATAGTTTATAAAGATGTTGCTACCATTAAAATTAAAATAGTATATATATATAGATGTATGGAAGGATGTGTTCTGACTTATTGTTTATATTTTGCCAATATACATTTTTAAAATTAAAATGATATGTTGTTCCCACCTTCCACCCCACCTCCACCCCCCCCTACTAAGACACTTCTTTAAGATTACTCTTTTTGTCTGGAGTTGAGATTTGGTAGAGAAGTGAAATCACTGGGTGAGAAGTCAGGGACCTGGACTCAAGTGTAGTTCCATTAACTTGCTGTGTGCTTCTAAGCAAGTCTCTGCCTCTCTAAGTCTCACTTCCCTTTCTGTAGAGTTGTGTTCATATATTTGCAGGGAGTTAAGCTGCTTGATTTCTAACACCTCCTCAGCTCGAATGGTATGTGATTGTAAATTTAACTATGGCCTGATGGTGTCTATGGTGTTTATATTTGGGGTTTAATTTTTCTTCTTTTCCTATTAAGGCTGTCATGATTGAGCTTGGGTTTCCTCTTTGATCTTATTCTGTGTGGCACTTGCTGTATGACTGAGAAATTTTCAAGAGTGTGGCCCCATAGGACAAGCACTAGACTGCTAACCACAAGGTCAGCAGTTCAAACCCATCAGCCACTCCTTGAAAACCCTGTACAGGGTCACTATGAGTCAGATCGGCCTCGACAGCACTTAACAACAAAATCTGCTCAAAGGAGTGCTGGTGGCACAGTGGTTAAGGAGTGCTCAGCTGTTAACCTAAAGGTCGACAGTTCAAACCTGCCAGCCACGACTTGGGAGAAAGAAGTGGTGTCTGCTTCCATAAAAATTATAGCTTACGGAAACCTACGGAACAAATGTCAAAAGTCTTTGGGTACACACTGACAGGAATGAGAATAAAAATAATTATGCCAACTATAATGCCATTGATCACCTATGAGAGGCTTTCAAGAAGTTTGTGGAGAAATTCCATTATCTTTTTATTCCAATTGTTCATGAACTTTTTGAAGCGCACTCATATAAGATACCAGTCTTCTTACACTGTATTAGGCATAAACAGAAAATAGATATACACATAAACATAAAAGGTGGCAATCTGTTGTTTTCATTTGCGTTTCTTTGCAATTAAAATGCAAAAGGATTAAGTATTTTTCCAAATGTTTTGTCACTAATGGATTTTGTGTAGATTTTCTGTTCGTTCCCTTTGTTTATTATCTGTTGTGTCCCTAATGTTATTCCTATCCACTTACATGAGCTCTTCTTAAATAAAAACATGAATTCTCTTCTAACAGATTATCTGCAAATAGTCCCCTAATTTGTCTTTTTTATTTTCTAATTAACAGAAAGGTGTCAATTTCATATCATCAAATCTGTTGATCTTTTCTTAATGATTTCTCTGTCCTAAATTCAGAACGAAAAATCTTCTCACCAGTGTTCCATACTTTTTGTCTTCCTTTTTTCTAATTTTTCTAATACTCTAATTTGAATATTCAGTTCTTTTAGTATTCCACCTAGAATGTGTGCACATGTGTGTAGTGTGAGGAATAGGTCAAAGCTGATTATTTCTCCAAATTAGCAGCCATTTATTCTACTGCCATTTATTGACAATTCTTTTCACATTATTTTATGGTAACCTGTCCTCACACATTGACTCTCTTCTGACTCATATGACCCAATAGGACAGAGCAGAAATACTCCATAGGGTTTCTGAGATTTTAAATCTTTATGGGAGCAGACAGCCTCATATTTCTCCCATGGTGGATTTGAACCACTGACTAGCAACCCAATGCTTATCCCACAGTGCCACCAGCATTCCTTATTATGGTACCAGTTTCTTTAAATATATTTTTTAAAATTCTCTACAAATCATAGTGAATATCTAGGATAGTCTAGCCCTTTACTGATACCACCTAGTTTAGTTTTTTTTTTTTTTTTTTTTTTTTTAATGTGTTCAAATTTTAACTTAGAATGCTATTTAGATTAATCTCTTTTTGCATTAGGCCAGAAATTGGGGGAGATATTGCCTCCAGATTGGATACAGGAATTATTTTCATAGATCTCTGTTACACTTTAGAAGACAAGTCCTTTGTAGATGGGTGGACAGATAAGGGTGCTTCTTCAGACTTCCGACAAGATGGCGGACTAGGCAGACATGCTACACAGACCCTCCACAACAAAGACAGAAGAGACTAAATGAAACAGATATCAATGATAATCCTGGAACCCTAAACTTCAGAGGAAAGGATAGAGAAGTGGATTAAATAACAACTAGGAGAGAAATGTGAACAAAAGTTACAACAGAGGAGGCCTGGTGAATTTTCAGCTGACCTGATGCCAGTGGACATTTTGAACTTTTTTTCAAGCAGCATTCCATCCAGGCAGTGGCCTTACAACAAAACACACTCCTGTGAATAGCAACGAAAAAGTGGGATAATCTCTGGTTCTCTACATGCTCCTGGTGACCAGAGTGTGACTGGCCCCCATCCTCACCTATTCATTGACCATTGACAACCCCAGTCCTGCACAGCCCCTCCTCTGCCTGAGGTTGGATTTAGAACTGGATGTACTTCCTCTGAGTCTTAAGGAGCCTGAACTCTGCCTCATTGAACCAACAGCACACATGGTGATTGTTCCTAGCCACCCCTGGCAGGCCAAGAACTCTTTCTGTAAGCAGCCGTCCTGCCCCCCAGCTGCCCTCAGGGTCTAAAGAGTTCCTTCCAAGAAAAGAAATCCTGTTCTCAGCCACCTTTTACTTCCAGATCAGGTTCCCTGACACTAGACATCATCTTGGCCTAAAGGAACTCCATCTAAGACCAGGCATCCTATGCCCTCTTCCCTACCCCATGCTCAGGGAGCTCCTTGCCTGACAGAGGGTGATGAGGCTTTTTGCTCAGAAACTCCATACAGGGTTGCTATGAATGGGAACAGACTTTATAGCACACCACTACTACCACTACCACCAGTGAAGACAATAACAAAGTAAAAAGAGGGAACAATATAGTTACTGAGCTTACAAATGGAGGGGAAGTCAAGTAGATTTCAAAGCAGAACTTGGTAAGAAATTAAGACAAATGATGCTTGGGTAAAGAAGATGGCAATAAACAACTGAATACACACACAGGCTGAACAGGTTTGGGAGAGAGAATAGGAGTATCCACAAATATATATATAGTTTTGACAGTGGATATTTGTACATGGATATTTACCTTTGCTGCAAATAAAGCCATGAATGTGGAGGAGCCTACAGGGGATAAAGTTATGAAATCTTCTTAGACATAATCAAACACTTCAAAGGAATGAGACAATGGGCCTAGGAGCTCAGGACCATAGTCTCAGGGGACACCATGGTCCATTGGCTTAAAATAGTTCCACAAAGACGATGTTCTACAACCTACTTTGATGAGTAGTGACTGGGATCTTAAAAGCTTGTAAACAGCCACTGAACTCTCCCCATCTGGAGGAAAGAAAGATGAAACAAATCAAAGATACATGGAAACAATGATTCCACATGATTAATGATCCATGTGACCATCAATTCCCATGATTCTGTGACTATAAGAACTAGATGGTGCTTGGTTACCACTACTAACAATTCTGAAAGAAATTATGTTTGTTGTTGTTAAGTGACTTAGAGTTGATTCTGACCCATAGCAACCCAGTATAGGGTTTCCAAGGAGCTGCTCGCTGGTGGGTTTGAACCGCTGACCTTGCAGTTCAAAAGGCTTTGCAGTCTGGCGCATTAACCGACAGCACCACACCAGGATGGTCCTATATAGAGTGGGTACAAATGTGGAAAAACCCTCAAAATCATAAAAGAGGCCAGGCTTATTGGTTCAGTCAAGACTGATGGAACCCCCAAGAGTATGGCCCTTAGTCATTCTTCAGGTCTGGAACTGAATTCTCCTGTGGCTTAATTCTCAAGTTTCAGCCAAACAGGTTTATAACTGGAACAATAACTCTAGTGAGGCATGCACATCTTAGAATAATCAACTACCCAAGGACAAAAATCAGGATGGCTGGGAAAGAAGGAGGAATAGGAACAGGAAACATAGGGAGAATGTGGGATGTTATGTTACAATGAGGGAGTTGTAATAAATGACATGAAACAAAATATATATGAATTGTTGAATGTAAAACAGATGATGCGCTCTATATTGGTTAGGTTTCTGTGTCAACTAGATTAGGCCAGAATTTCCAGAGCTTTATCAGTTGGGATGTGCTTATTCCCATGGTAATGAAACCTAATACAGTCAAAGTTCGCTCTATGATAAGTGGCTATGAGTAGCCAATCAATTAAAGGGATTCTCCCTTGGGGGCATGGTCTGCTCCCAATATAACAGACACATGAGAGGGACTCTCTTCTGCTGGGGACCTGGGACTCTACAGGTGTAAGATAATAAAGTTCTTTTTATATATGGATGTATATGTGTGTGTGTGTGTGTGTGTATAGTTAAATGCCGTCTAGTCAATTCCGACCCGTAGCGACACTGTATAGGGTTTCCGAGGAGCAGCTGGTGAGCTTGAACCACTGACCTTGTAATTCAAATGGCTTTGCAGTCTGAACCCTGGGAAACCAAACAAGAAATGTCAGACTAGGAGTTCCTCAAATGGGTCCTTCCCGGGACTGGTATATTGTTGTTGGGTTCTGTCAAGTCAATGCCAACTCACAGTGACATATGTGGCAGAATAAAATTGCTTTTTCAGATTTTCTTGGATATAATCTTTTTTAAAGTTTTTATTGTAAATTGAGTGATAGTTTGCATAGGGGAACATCAGTTCATTTCATTGCAATGATTACAATACCCTACAGTATTGCTTCTATTCCCTCTGTTTTTGGTGTTTTTTTTTTTGGATGTACACCAAAACACTCAGGAATATACAATCATTCAAACAGCCAAAGGGTCACACCCTGCCCCCCGGCCACCAGCACACATCCCCTCTCCCTCCATGAGTCTAGAATTGGATATAATCTTTAAGAGAGAAGATCACCAGGTATTTATTTCTCCACAGGAATTCCTGGGTAGGTTTGAACCACCAACCTATCTCAGTTAGGTTGAATGATGAATGCCACCAAGCCTCATTCAATAGTATTTAAATGACACTTGAACTGAGGAACCAACAGAGGCAGGAGGATACTAAAGGGCAATGTGTATACTCACAAGTTGCCAAGAGGAATGCTGTAAAGGCAATTTGGTAGAACCACTGACCTTTGGAATTGTTATTGTTAGGTATCATCGAGCCAGTTCCCTGTGCACAACAGAAAAAAACACTGCCTGGTTCTGGGCCAACCTCACAATTGTCATTATACTAGAGTCCAACGTTGATGCTACATAGTCAGTCCGTCTTGTTGGCAGTCTTAACTCTTTTTCACTGACCCTCTTCTTTACCAAGCATGATATTCTTCTCCAGGGACTTGTTCCTCCTGATAGTATGTCCAAAGTACAAGGCATAGAGTCTCGTCAGTCATCCTAGCTTCAAAGGAGCTTTCTGGCTGTACTTGTTCCAAGACAGATTTGTTTGTTCTTCTGGTAGTCCATAGTACTTTCAGTATTTTTCACCAACACCATAATTCAAATGCTTTAATTATTCTATGGTCTTTCTTATTCATTGTCCAACTTTCACATGCATATGAAGCCAATACCATGGCTTGGGCCAGGCACACATTAGTTCTCAAACTTACATCTTTGCTCTTTAACACTTTAAAGAAGTCTTGTGCAGCAGATCTGTCTAATGCAATATGCCATTGGTTTCTTGACTGCTGTTTCCATGATCATTGAATGTAGACTCAAGCAAAATTAAGTCATTGTCAACTTCAATCTTTTCTCTTTTTATCATGATGTTATTTATTGGTTCATTTGTTTAAAAAAATATTTATTGCTTTGATTTTCATCAGTATTTCAAGTCCTCTTTGCTTCCAGCAAGCAAGGTTGTGTCATCTGCATATCGAAGGTTGTTAATGAGTCTTCCTCCAATTCTCATGTCATGTTCTTCATATAATCCAATTTATGGGATTATTTGCTGAACATACAGATTAAATAAGTATGGTGAAAAGATGCAATTCTGGTGTACACCTTTTCTGATTTTAAACTATTCAGTGTCATCCTCATTTTGTTCAAATGACTTCCTCTTGGGCTATGTACAAGTTCTTCATGAGCACAATTAAATATGAAGAATACACATTCTTCACAATGTTATCCATAGTTTGTTATGATCTACAAAGTCAAATGCCTCTGTACAGTCAATAAAGCACAAGTAAACATCTTTCTAGTATTTTCTACTTTCAGCCAAAGTCTATCTGAAGTCATCAATGATATCCCTCATTCCACGTCCTCTTTTGAATCCAGCTTGAATTTCTGGCAGCCCCTATGTGTATGGCTGCAAATTTTAAAAAAATTATCTTCAGTAAAATTTGCATGTGATATTAATGATACTGTTCAATGCTTTCTGCATTCCACTGGGTCACCTTTCTTTGGAATGGGCACAAATATGGATCTGTTCAAATCTTGGTATAGACAAGTGAGTGCTTCCAGTGTTGTATCAGTCTGCTGAAATGTTTCAGTGGCTTTCTTACTCCAGGTCTTTGCACAATTCAACAAAATACTTGACTTTGTCTTTTCAAGCTACCCTTTGAAATTTTCTGTTTAGTTCTGTTACTTCATTTCTTTCGGTTGCTCTAGCTTCTCTTTTTTCCAGAGCGAGTTTCAGAGTCTCTTCTGATATCCATTTTGGTCTTTTCCTTCTCTTCTTTTTTATGACTTTTTGCTTTCTTCATGTATGATGTTCTTAATGTCATCTCACCCCTCTCCTGTAGTCAATTGTGTTTAATGCATCAAATCTGTTCTTGATAGGGTCTTTAAATTCAGGTGGGCTATACTTAAGATCATATTTTGGCTCTTGTGGACCTGTTTTAATTTCTTTCATCTTCAGCCTGAACTTGCACATGAGCAATTGATGGTCTGTTCCACAGTCAGCTTCTGACCTTGCTTTGGCTGATGATATGGAGCTTTTCCATCATTTCTTTCTACAGATATAGTCAGTTTTATTCCTGTGTGTTCTATCTGGTCAAGTCCACGTGTATACTGACCTTTAAAATTGTTGAAAAATTGCAATGAAAAAGTCATTGGTCTGGCAGATTTTTATCATGTGATCTCCTACATCATTTCTATTATCAAGTCTATATTTTCCAACTATCGATTCTTCCTCTTTATTTCCAATGATCACTTTCTACTCACCAATAATTATCAAAGTATCTTGATTGCATGTTTGGTTAATTTCAGATAGAAAAAGTTAGTAGAATTATTCAATTTCTTCATCATTGACATTAGTGATTGGTGTGTACATTTGAATAATAGTGTATTAAATGGTCTTCCTTCTTGTTGTTAAATGCCATTTTAACATTCATAGTGAGCCTGTATAGGGTTTCTGAAGCTGTAAATCTTTGCAGGACCATAAAGCCTCACCTTTCTCTCTCAGAGATGCTGGTAGGCTTGAATGGCCAACTTTGTGATTCGTGGGCCAGTACTTTTTCTATAGAGCCACCATGTTCCCGGGTCTTCCTTTTAGATATATGGATATTATCCTATCACAGACAGCATTTACTTCAAGATAGATTGTGAAATGTTCTTTTTGATGATGAATATGATATCATTCCTCTTCAATCTGTTGTTCCCAGCATAGTGAACCATATGATTGTCTAATTCAAACTGGCCAATACCAGTCCATTATAGTTCACTAATGTCTAGGATATTGATTTTTATACATTCCATTTTGGTAGGTTTTATTATTATTATTATTATTATTTCCAATTCAAAAACGGCTATAACCATACATTAACAGAGAACTGCCAGAGGTTCTAGTCAGATTCAGACAAGGATGTGGAATGACAGATATTGCTAATATCAGGTGGTTCTTGGCTGAAAGCAGAGAATACCAGAAAGATGTTTAGTTGTGCTTTATAGACTATGCAAAGGCATTTAGCTGTGTGGATCATAACAAGCTGTGGATAACATTGTGAAGAATAAGTATTCTAGAACATTCACTTGTGCTCATGAGGGACCTTTACATAGACCAAGAGGCAGTCATTCAAACTAGTTTAAAACAAGAAGACACTGGTTTAAAATCAGGAAAGGCATGCACCAGGGTTGTATTCTTTCATCATATTTATTCAATCTGTATGCTGAGTTCATAATAAGAGAAGCTGGATTGTGTGAAAAAGAAGATGGTATCGGGATTGGAGGAACAGCCTGAAATATATAGATAATGCAAAAATGCAAAGATGAAAATCAGAGACCATAGCCTCCAGTATGGTTTCCACCTCAGTATAAAGAAAACAAAAATCCTCACCACTGGACCAAAAAAAAAAAAAAACATCAAGATAAATGGAGAGAAGATTGAAGTTGTCAAAGACTTCATTTTGCTCGGGTCAACCATCAACACTCATGGAAATAGCAGTCAAGAAATCGAATGATGTATTGCCATAGGCAAATCTGCTGCATGCTACCTCTTTAAACTGTTCAAGAGCAAAGATGTCAGTTTGAGAACTAAGGTGCACCTGACCTAAACCATGGTATTTTCAATAACCTCTTATGCATGTGAAAGTTGAACAGTGAATAACGAAGACAATAGATAGAAAAAAAAAATTAATCAACTGTCCAATCTCTCACATCTTGCAAGTGGCAGAGCTAGAACTTCAGCCCAAGTAATCTAGATACAGAGTCTGTACCACTGGCAGGCTTTGGTTTTAGTGTTTGTACTTGATGTTTTTAATTTCCTGTGTGTTTTGTTTTGTTTTTTCAGTTGTTTTCAGCTAAAGTGATGGGAGATCCCTTTCTTGTGGTGGAGGTGGGTCTGCTTGCATTCAAGTCGGCAGCAGATGAAGGACAGAAGCAAGGTCCAGATTCTCCTGTTCTGCTCCTGGAGAACTTTTCCAAACTGCTGGAACTGGTGACCCTCCGCCACCGACTGATAGAAATGAGTCTGGAGAGTGCACACTTAGCTCGGTCAGTAGGGGAACCAAGGACCCCTGTAGAGAACAAACTCTGCGGCAGGACCTGAGGATAACAGACCATGGGTCTTCTGGGTACAAGCCTTGTCCAAGAGCTCTCTAAGTGACCATCTCCCACACTTGTTCCTCCTTCCATGCTAGTTTCTTTTCTGACCACTCTACTAGGCAAGGTCCTCCGATCAGTATCTGGGCTTCCTCTCCATTTAGCAAATTCCTTTTAATTATATGCTTACTATTGGCTTATGTGTTTCCTGCTAGTGTGAGCTCCCAGCATTCCAAGGCACTGCCCAAGTACTTTACTGTGACAGCCATCAGTTAGTTTGTGGTCTGACCCATGCCAGGCACTCAGTGAATATTGGTTGAATTTGCTCTTGAGTATAATGAAGCAGAGTAGAAACAGCATAGGGCCTGGAGAAAAGAAAAAGGGACAGTCCTCACTGAGGTTTAGAGAAGGCTCAGCAGGTAGAAAGAATGATCTCTGAGCTTTGCGTTAGGTATAAGTGTGAGATGGTGGTAAGACATTCAAGTGGATGTGTTTAATAAGCAGCTAAAATAACAGAGCTAGAGGGCTCGTTGCAAACCCGTATGAGTGCTGTTGAGTTCTGGCCCTGTAAACACAAAGAGTCCCATCATCTATCACCTACTATTGAGGGTTGGCTGTGGTCCGAGTTTACATACATTATTTCATGTAATTCTCAGAATATTCCTATGAAGTAGGTTACAAACATTTGGCCAGTGTGGAAATAGAGGCTCAGAGAAGTTAAGTCATTTACCCAAGATCACACAACTGGAGAGTGGTAGAAACAGAACTCAAACCATTAGCTAAGATACTATACTATTAATCTCTGACACTGCCTATTCAAAACTCATGATCCTTGCTCTCAAGGAGCTCACATAAAAATCATATATAATACAGTACAATAATACTATTCCTGGTGTGGTATTATAATATTAACACTGGACTGCTAACCACAAAGCCAACAGCTCAAACCTCCCTGCCACTCCTTGGAAACCATAAACATTAGTAGAAACTGACTCAACATCTACAACAACAGTTTTCTAAGCAAAATACTATGAGAACACAGATAAGGGAGTGTTTTGTTCATTCTAAGCAGATCATGGAAGACTTCATAGAAGTCTGAATTCAGCCTTAACATGTCTCAGAATGGAGAAATCGGTCAGAAAGGAGGTAAATGGGGAAGTGAAGCCACTGTGGACATGTAGGGCTGAGATCCATCACCTGTCTGTTAGCTTATCATTCTATAGTGGCTTATGCTGCTGGAGGAGTCCTGGTGTGGTACTGTAGAATAAACACCAGACTACTAACCAGAAGTTCAGTGGTTCAAACCCACCAGCCACTCCTCAGAAATCCTATATAGAGTTGGAACCAACTCCATGGCGCTTAACCACAAGATGATGCTGGAAGCTCTGGTGCTAGTATTTCAAATACCAGCAGGGTCACCCATGATGGACAGATTTCAAAGAAGCTTCCAGACTAAGACTAGAAAATCCTGGCAATGTATTTACAGAAATTAGCCAGTGGAAACCTTACAGGTCATATACTCTCCAATATAGTGACAGATGATGAGCCCCTTAGGTTATAGAGCACTATACAATGGACCCACACATACCAATGATGATGAAGATGGCACAAGCAACATTCTATTAGACATAAAGTCACCATGTGTCAGGGCTGACTTGATGGTTGACATTCTAGAAGGGCATCTAAATAGAGCTGTGCATTTCACAGGTGGTGAAAATGTGGATCTGGACATCAAATGTAGTCAGGATATGGACAGGGGTCACAGATTTTTTTCATGGAGGAGTGGTCATAACAGGCCTGGGATTACAGACTTTCTAAGAAGAAGATACAGAGAATTAGAAGACTAGGTATGGAACCCAGGAAACAACCAGGGTTTGAAGATAAGAAAGAGAGCCAGCAAAGACAAGAGGAAGTGCTCATGAGTTGGAAGCAAACCCAGGAGAATGTAGGTCCGGGATTCAGGAGGAGGACAAAGACATTTTTCAAGGAGGGGCCTGCTAACAGTGCTGTCTCCAGGAGGTCAGCAACAGAGGAGCTGAGATCAGATGGTAAATGCTGTGCCTAGAGCAATACTGGTGACCTCAGAAGCCAGCTCACAGAAAATGAGATTAAGGAAGTACTCAAACCTACCTTCTACTTTACTATCACCTTAGGCTATCATAACACAGAGCATGATTCCTTTACTTCCTTTTGTGCATATTCATGTGTTTTGGTTTTCTCAGGACCTAGTTTCTTTTTAGGGAAAAACACTAGCCAAAGTTTCTCCTTTTTCTTTCCTTTTAGACTTTATAAGGAATTAGCATGGGAGATGGGTTTTGAAGAGTCCCATTTGTACTTGAGACCTGTTCATTTTGAATTTGCATCACACAAGGAGAAGATAGACCAACCACCTCCTGTCTTCATTACTTCTCTACTGGAGGACAGTGATCGGGTAGACAGGTGAGCCTTGAAGGGTCACAATAAAAGTCATGTAATGACCAAACAAAAGACTGTTGTTGTGGTGGTCCTTGTGGTGGCCCTTAGGTCACTATGCACAACAAAATGAAACACTGCCCAGTCCTGCGCTGTCCTTACAACTGTTGTTATACTAAAACTTAAGTATGGTTACTTTCAATTTAAAAAGCTCATTAATACATCCTATCTTACCACCATCTTACTAGGAGATTGGTGATATTCCTGTTAACCATCAAAGAAACCATCATTCATAGATATTAAATTACTTGTCAGAATGTAATTGTTAAGGACAAAGGACAGTGTCCCAAGGTGGAGTCGTGACTACAGAGGACATTTAGATAATTGTTAGAACCACAGGAAAGAAATAGAAGAGAAGGGAGCAGCATTTCAGGAGTGTACAAAAGAACACAAAGAGCCTACATGTCCAAAAGGTAAGAGGAAAAGCAGCATAGTAGAATAATAGTGATCAAGAGAAGAAAATTCAAATACTGTCGGTGCTCACCACACCCAACTGCAGAGAGCAAGTCCAACAAAGATCGGAAAGACCCGTGAGCCCTTGTACTTCTTACCAGATCAGACCACGTGCTATCTGCGCCATCACAGGCCCCTCTTGATTACTGGCGTGTCACATCAAAACAACAGCCTGTCTCTTCTTGCAGATATTCTCCTGCTACTCTTGTCTTAGCCATCTCTGAGGTGGATGATAATCAAGTTGGCAAATTTAGTTTTTATACAAAGGAAGCTATCCTGAAGGTAAATAATTTTATCTTTTATTTTTTAAAGAAACTCAAGCACACTAAGCAATTTACAAACGCACTCCTTAAAATGTCATGATATTGAATCATGTAAGTTAAGTACTCATACAAGAAAAGCTGTGAACTTCATAAATAATGATTATGGTTTTGCTTTATAGGATGTATTCAATCTCCAAGTGGTTCAAACACTGATTTGGTTTGAAAGTATAGAGGCTGCAACGTTACTTTGTAATAATCTCTGTTAGACAATAAAAAGAACACCTATGGCAAACCATTTTAGCACTGAGCTTTAAATATATATATACTTGTTATGGGAGCTTTTATCTGATCATTTTCATCTTGGTGCTTACCCCCCCCCCTTGTTTGTAGGGTGTGTGTGTGGGGGGGGGTGTATTTGTGCATTTATTGTTTCAACACAACTTGATCCCCACAGTGCCACACAAAGCCTGCTGCTTGAGCATGTTTGCTAGATCATCAGCACGTACTCATCCTTTCCTTAAGGAAATCAGATAGTGTCTAGATAGGGAACGAATCAGACCTGGATACAGTCCCAGGAAGTGAAACATTGTTTAGACACAGACCATACAGGGCTTCCGGCTGAGCAGCCAGGATCCCAGTTCATCCTGCAGTTTGGTTCATACTGAATCAGTGGTCATCTTAAACCTGAATTTCACATCTTTCTTCGTGGAGGAGTTCCTAATACCATTTCCGTTTTCTTCGTTTAGCTCTTCATCCATTCAGGAGTGGAAAATATGCAAGTGACACTAGCATGCCAAGCTGCTCAGAAAAATGCGTTGATGGTGGCTGTCCAGCAGGCATCCTTCTATCATGTCCCCCACAGAGACTGTCCAGCCAAAGGCAAGGTCAGCCTGAGGCATGCTACCACAAGACCTGCTTATGCCAGGCTGTTCGCCTCCCCATCTTCTCTGTCATCTTTGTTGCTTCTCTTTCTCCTCTTCCCTTCCTTCCTAATGTGATTTAAAGTATGACCAAATCCTTACCATCCTTTACTTTTAACAATTCACTAATAATTTTCCCTTTGTATGTGCTGCGATAATATTCTGATTAGGCAGTGGTTAAAGAACTTGACTGCTAACCAGAAGTTCAGTGGTTCAAACCTTGGCAATTTGTTCCATAAAAATGTATAGCCTTAGAACTCTATGGACCCCCTCCAAGACTGAAACTCAAAGGGAACACATGAGCAGGCATGTAAACTTGCTGGTGACCACATTGGTCTACTGGTGAATGGAAGTGAGGAAAAAGCAGCAATGAAAATATGGGCTGAGTTTGACCACATTCCATAGACTACCATCGACCTGGAGATGAGAGAGAGAGAGAAGAGGAAGTGCTGGTTGGTCCACCAAAGTGTGGTGAGACCTGGGGACTTCTAAGCCCATGGACAAGGACATAGCCACAGAGGGCTAGAGCTGAGAGTGAAGCATTCAGCTGATATGAAGTGAGGGTAGACACACAAGAGCACCCAAACTTGCAGATAGTACCCATATGACCTAGCTTCAATGGCTTGATGATCAGCACTTGAATAGAGGAACATAAAGAAATTTGATAAAGGAAACAAGTGTAAATTGCTACAATTTGATGAACTTGACCTGTGCTTATGGACGTAGTAGCTCAAAATACCAACTGTGAGGGAAGGAGTCTTCACATCAAGGATCAACCTATCCACTCTGTACAAAGGGTTGTTAGGGATAGGCAACTTAGACATTGGCTATCTAAAATGGGGGAGGCTAAAATGGCACAAAATGGCTGGCTTACACATTCCAAGAGGGAGTTTAGTTTCAGAGTGTGTGGGGGGAAGGTAGAAACCCCACTGAATAGTTTCTATCTTGTCTAGGCCGGTCTGGTGAAAGGATAAGATTCTTTTGATTCAATAGTGAGTAATTGTTATCATGACAAATTGTGATTATCACAACTGTAAAGGTAGAAGTTTTGTAACATAAAGGGGGAGTAGTTAATCTTTCAGTCCAGAAACAGAGGACTCTAGGACAATCAAAGAAGAGCATGAGCTGAATATGGGTCACTATCTAGAGAAGCAGTGACACCAGAGATGGAGGCAGAGATGAGGATATGGAGAGAGGGAGCAGCTGAGGACTCTAGACTCATGGAAGGAGAAGGACTGAGTGCTGGAGGCCAGGAGGCAGGCTTATAGAATGTGCCCTTTGGTTGTTTAAATGATTATAGATTCCTGAGTGTTTTTGTATACATTAAAACAAAACAAAAACAGTTTTTTTATGATTTTGAAGTAATATCACCAGGAAATGAAGGATAATTTTAAAGACTTCTAGGCTGTTTCCCTAACTTTTATGAGGGCTTTACTCAAAATAATTAAAAAACAAAAACAAACTCCATGGAACAGTTCTACTCTGCCCTCTAGGGTCACTCTGAGTTGGAACCAACTCAATGGCAGTAGATTTGTGTTTTGGTATGTACCTCTATAATAGCGACTAACTAGAATAATTCAGCAGAAAATATGCTGTCCTCACCCCACTCCAACCTCTATAAATACACAGTTTCTTTATCTTCTAGTTTATCCATCCTGTATTTCCTTTTTTT